TTAATTAGTTTATTAATCCCCCACTAATTCAATAATTAATCAATTATTTACATAATTAAGAATTATCTCAAATTACTTAAAATATTGCTCATTTTTAGCACACCTTATACACCTCACTATCATGGTCATGTAGTACCTTGTATGACACTAGTCCATAATTACCATGTATTATAGCTTAGACTGTATTTTGTCCCAAAATGTCAAATTTTGACGAAATTCATTTTCTTTGATTTGCTTTCCCTCTCACCTTCATGAATTTACTCATCACTTGTTTGAAATAGCGTAATACTTATAATCCCAAAATAATCTCATTCCCGAACTTACGTCGATTAACTTATGACGAAACTTTAACGTACGAAAATGTGGGATGTAACATCTCATTTTCGAGCTTCCATCAATTTATTTATGGTGTACTTTCACGTACGAAAATATGGGGTGTAACATCGGAGCCCCTCCAGAGTCTGTACACCCCCAGTGAGCGTGGGTACCCATTGAGAGTGAGTGATGAGGGATGGGAGCTCAGTGAGTGATGATTGTTGGGAGCCCAGTTAGTGATTGTTGTCCTCACAAGTTGTACTTGATTTTCATTTATTGTTGCACTTAGTTGCTATTTGTCATTATTGTAAAATTTCTAAAGAGATTTTCATCTACAGATTACATGAACAAGAACTGTACAAAAATTGATTTGACATTAAACTGCCAGATTTGATAGCATGTCTATTCTTTGCTGGAATTACTGGAAATGAACCATAACTGTGTAGCTCGTTTCTATCTTCAGTTCCTTATTTATTATTGTTACTTGCTGAGTTGGTTGTACTCATACTACACCCTGCACCTCGTGTGCAGATCCAGGTGTTCCCGGACATAGCGGGTGTTGATCCTTTCGCGCAGTTGATTTTCAGGAGATTTTGAGGTAGCTGCCGTGTTCCGCAGACCTTCTATCTCCTTCTCTATCTCCTTGTTTACTGTATTTGGTCTCAGACTATTATAGATCATATTTTCTAGACTTGTATTCATATTAGATGCTCATGTACTCAGTGACACCGTATTTTGGGAGTATTTATATTTGTACGTGTGAGATTTTCTTCCGCTGAAATTAATCATTGTGTTTTCGTATTTAAAAGATATGTGGTTTATTGAGATTGTCGACTTGCCTAGTATTGAGATAGGCGTCATCACGACGGGCTAGGTTTTGGGTCGTGACAAAGATAATCATGTATTTAGATATCGACTTCACTAGATGCTGATATGATATGATATACTTGGTTGATGAGCTACATAAGGAAGAGTGTTAAACGAACACTCATGCCTCTTTTTACCATGGAAGTTAATTTATAACATATTATGTAGCATCTGATTATGGAATATGACTGTAGAACTTTGTCAATGGCTGCGAATTTATGGGTAAAGTTGAAAGGATACTTTAAGTTATTTTGTGACAATAAACTAGCAGTCTTGTATTCCAATAACAATAGGAGTTCGGTAAAGTCAAAGCACACTGGCATAAAGTTCCCTGATTGTTAAAAAAAGAGTTCAGAGTGGTTAGGTATCTATAGAGAATATTGGTACAAACTCCATGGTTTGTGGATCCACTTACTAAGGGACTACCACCCAAGGTTTTCATGAGCATATTTAGGTTATTTCTGCAGAAATAAAGTATTTAGGTTATTTTTACTCTGACTTATTTTTCAGTTGGACTAGTTGAAAATAAGCATGCTTAGATCACATTGCATATAATTTTCATGCTACACATCCATACTTGATCTATGTCATTTGGTTATGTTGTTATTCGTGATCAAGGAAGGTTTAATTACGATAAATGTAATGAAAGCCACCTTGGTTCAATATTGGCATGATTGATGAACAAAATTGTTCGGAGGTACTTTGGTTTATGATAGCAAACATTTTGAGCTTATAAGGTGATATACAATTATAGAGTTATATGTGTAATCCAAGTGGGAGATTGTTAGAACTTTTTATGGACTTGCACATATATGGTATTAAGAATAATTGTATGTTGGTTGCTATTATTAAAATATTGACCCAAATTAAAAGTGATTTGCTAAAATTTTAAAGTTAAATGGGTCTATTAGATACCTTATAAAGTATGGGGTCTTATGTGTAGATACTCGGATTTAGTTTCTAATTTGATGATGAGCTAAATTAGAAATACATAAAATTGTGCACCTATTAATATGATTATGGTTCCCAAATCAGACGAAAAGTTTTTCTTTCTAACACCCCATCGCTGGAAAGAGTAGAACGACTTACGTCTTGGTTTGGAAGACTGTACATCGAAAGATTCAGTAATCTCTGTGGCACTCATGGATTCAGGTACGCTTCCACATCTAGTTTTTTATTCTTGATAATTTGACATAATAATTCTTGGGTAAAAAATGAACGATTTCATGTTTAAAGTAATTTGGTCCCAACATAATATACTACTACCAGTTCAACTAGATTAATTACTGCAACGTAAGAACTTTTTCTTTCACTATATATATAGCTTAAAATCTAATTATAAAGAACAAGAGCATGATGCCAACATACAAGATGACAAATTATTTTGACATCCACATTCCTGTTCAACTAAAAATAAAAACCTACGTGAGATGTTGCTTTCATTTTCTTCTTTTCACTTTTGGGCCCGAGCTTTTCAACCAAATAACATCAAAAGTCAACCTTCAAAGTTAGTTGAATTTCTTTTATACATTTTTAGTGGGATATCTGTTTATGTCATAGTCGTAGTTTCTAGGCCTGCATCTCATAATTGTAGCACAAGCCCTCTTTTCCCTTTTCCTTTTTTCTTGGATTAGATCAGCTAGGTGAATTGGAAATTAAAGCATTCTAGACTAAAGTTCTTCACGAGTCACTTGTGGTACCTTGTTTGATGGGGAAAACAACATTGCCCTCGATCGCCACTTGCAAGCACGGATTATCTTACATTGTTCTTGAACAAAAAATCTTGTTTTTCTAGGCGATTTTAGGAGTCTCCGCAAAGTTCACCCTTAAAAAATCAATAAAAAGGGATCAAATTTATCCTCGTATTACTCAAACTTGAGCAACTTTGCCTTTCCAAGCATTTGGATACCTAGAGTCCATCCATTTTAAGCCGGAGAGATAATTTGCTAACAATAACGATGTGAATGAACCAATTAAACGTCCAAAGTATATTGAACAATTTTTGGAAGGACTATTTTGAGATTGCAGTAAAACATTGTTTGGAAGACGTTGTAGTTATATTTTCAGACATAAATCTAATTTGAAAAAAAAAAACTGGAAGATTTGAGTAAAAACTACTGTATTATCACTCGAAATATTTCTCAAACAAATTTTTTTTACTGATATTTTACCATTGTTTCAAATACTGAATTTATTTGTAAATACTGACGCCCATACCGATATTTGCAAATATTGAACAATTAGGGGCCGTTTCAACATCTTTTTCCTTTTGAACTTTCCCTCTTGGGCTTTATTCTTTTTAGATACCTCAACTATAAATGGAAAATTAATATATGTATAGCATTATCTATTTTATTGCTGATTTTCCTGTAATTGATAAAAGAAACAAAAACAGAAAAAGAGCTCTACGTTGACTACATGCAACTTGTTGACTTCTTTATGAATAGTTTACGTTTTGCATAAAAGCCGATTTCTGAATAAGTCAGTACTCACTAAACAATTGAGTTGACTTAACATGCAAATTGAAAAAATAAAAATAAAAATAAAAGACTTAACATGCAAATTCAATTGTTCATTGAATGGCACCAGCGCCGCATCTTGTGATTGTGATATGTTCTATTTTAGTGCGAAACTTCACTATAAGTTAAATTTATTTAAATCTACTTTATTAATTATAAAATATTGTATTTAAACGATCTAATCCCCGACTTTCTTAATTCGCTGTAATTAACAATCCAAATTCATATTCATTCTGAAACTATAAGCACCTTACATTTTAAATTTGCTTTTTATAACACCTAACAGCCATTTTTTTACAATTCAAATTACCTTTTAAATATTTTTTTATAAAATTCACAATTTTATTTATTCTTTTAGACCAAAGATTACTTTGCTCATGTATCACCCAAATTCACTCTGCTGTTGCAGATCTACCAATCAACAAATCTTCATCAAGGTACATTTAATAAGGAAACTTCGCAGAAATATTAAATGACTATGATGTCACAATTTAATTTGTAGTACTTCGAGTTCAAAATTCAGTGACCTCTTTAAAATTGTTGTCTATTACTAAGATTACTACTCTACTTCCTATGTTATGCTTTGAATTCGAATTAAGTGACCTATTTAACATGGTTGCCTAACTGAATCCCTACTTCCTATATTTATCTTAGAAAAAGATCCCCTTAATAATTAGAAGCTTGTCATCAAACAAACTGAATGATGTTTTCTTTTTTTCATCTTTTATCTTAATATCTAATATTTGTACTGAGGAATCGACTAATTTAAATTTATATTACTTCAGACCGATTAAACGAAAAATATTCCCTATACTCCTCTGGTTAAGAGTGAATAAATAACTTTGGAGATATCATCACCAAAGTATGTGATCCGACGGATGAGATCTCTCCATCCAAAACCAAAAGTTTTCGGTTCGCCTTTTGAAAACGAAGAAATATCTCTCAGGGACACTTTCTTTTTAATAAATTATATGCCACCCGAATTCATTAATTGGAACTTGACTACCAAATGATCATTAAAAAACTTTTGAGGTGTTAAATGTATTATTCTTTTAAAAAGAATTTATTGTTTAAATTATTTTGAATTTTTTTATTCTATAAAAGATAGGGAGAGAGGGGCCTACAAACAACCACCACCCCCTCATGTCCGGGGAAGTGGAACCTTTCTCTCTACACAATCGCCAAGTCGCCAACCCCACCCCCTCCTCTCTCCCGGGGCCCCCGCAAAACCCCCCAAAACCTTCTCTTTCTCTACAAGAATCCCTTCTTTCTGTTGCAATTTCACACATCTCTTTATCTCTCTACTCTTTCTCTCTCTATAACTACACACAACTCCAAGAAAAGAAAAAGATTCCTTTTAAAACTCTTCCATTTTAATCTACATTGATCACTTTTGTTGTGCTTTCGTTGAACCGTTTATGGCATTGATATAAAAACAGAGGTTTTTCTATTGAATTTACAGTATTCTGAATTCAAAATTCAGTTTTTTCTGAATTTGGGGGTTTCCATTTACTGCTGAAATATTGGGGTTTTTTTTTGGTTCAATCTTGATTTTTACTGTTGTTTGTTTGAGTGTGTAAAAAAGGAAATGAAGGATGTTTTCCTGGCTGGTAAGGACGGTATCAGCATGTTTTCGGCCATTGAGTCGATATGTCCCTATGAGCAAGGATGAAGAGGATGTTTTTGTGCGAGGTGAAGATGATGTGCTTTTATGGTGTAGAGACCTTGAGAAACATTCATGTGGGGAGTTTTCTTTTGCTGTAGTCCAAGCTAATTCAGTACTTGAAGATCATAGCCAAGTTGATACAGGTCGTGAAGCTACTTTTGTTGGGATTTATGATGGACATGGTGGCCCTGAGGCTTCAAGATTTGTCCGTGATCACCTTTTCCTGCATTTAATAAGTGAGATTTGTTTCTCTTTTCTCTTTTTCTTTGCTGCAGTCTTTAGTTGAGAATGTATCTTAGTCATGTTAATATGTTTAAATTAGGTCCTATGCTTTCTAGGAGTCTTTTAGCCCTACTAGAGATTGTTATGCAAGTAGGAAATATAAAGAAATTTGCGCCATGGGAATCACAAACATAGTGCGAAATTAACAAGGAATGAGAAAACAAGAAACAAACATAAAGGAAAATTGCAGGAAAACAGAGAAAAAGATAGTGGAAACAGGGTTTTTCATTCAAGGCATAACCTTACAATGCTCAAACTACAGTTTATAAAGACCAAGCGGGGTCAAAGTGGAATTATAGGACTAAGGTTGGTTCAAACTATAATAGTAGAAACTTGGCCTAATATCTCAATTCGTTACCAACTTCTAGTACTTCTCAATGTTAGCTTGAGATGAATTTAAATGGTGAACATGGTCCGTGAGGATTCATGTGGTCGACAATAACTTGTTTGAGATTGAGGCGTTGTTGTTGTTGTTGTTGTGGTCTTTGCCAATGGAATTCTTTTTTTTCTTTTTAAATGTTACTGTATATAAGAGCAATTTATTGTTTCAAGTTTTGGAAGAAATGATATTCATAGTTATTTCTTGAGCATGTGAGATGTGAAGAGTTACAGTATTTTCTTTATTCAGTTTATGTCTGCTCTAGTGCATGTTGTAGCAGTATTTAAGTGTTTTTTTATAAGTCGGTAGTTAAGTAAAATGTAAAGTAGAAGTCTTCAATTGTCATTATGTGGAGGTTTTGCCGCTCACTCACAACATAGGCTTTTGTTGCTCCTTCAATGTGTTGTTATATGCCAATTGTTTTTATTTTGTAGGGCATTTTCTTCAAAGGCACAAACAGTAACATAGAGAAACAGGGATCATCTTTATGGTACTCTTGATGTTTTCAAGCAAACGAGTGCTTAGTCTCGTCTTAAAAGGAATATCAATGTTTAGAGGGAAAACGTTAACACTTTTAATAGAATACAGAGCAAGCACCTTTTAGTCATCGTTATCATGAATAACAAGTTCATCTTAGTCTGCAGACTGATATTTGGGGTATTGTCACTGATGTCAAACTCTCATTCTTCTACTTCACTGACGAGTCGTATGGTAACAAATAATATCATCCACTTACTTACATTTTCATCTTTTCTGATTGGTTGTGTCATGTTGACTAATTGTTCTGGTGAATAAAACCTCGCTTTTCCTACTTTCTCGTGTTGTTTCATATATTATTTGAGAGTTTTAAGGCGATCATGGATGCTAAATGCACACATCTTTTCTTACAGGGCTTGCCCGAGAAAATGGAACAATAGATGAAGAAGTGCTTAAAAATGCGTTCGCTGCAACTGAAGTTGGCTTTCTTTCTCTTGTGAGAAGGGCATTTGGTATTACACCATTAATTGCGACAAAGGGTTGCTGCTGTCTGGTTGGTGTTATCTGGAAAAGGACGTTGTATGTTGCTAACCTTGGTGATTCTAGAGTGGTATTAGGTCATATAGAGAGATCAAATAAAATTTTTGCTGAGCAATTGACCAAGGATCATAATGCCAGTATCGAGGAGGTTAGGAAGGAACTGATGTCGTTGCACCCAGACGATTCACGCATTGTGGTTAATGTCAATGGAGCATGGCGTGTTAAAGGCATCATACAGGTTTGCTTTTATAAGTAATATAGAACACAAGCTTTTGTGTTATGTGTCATTTTGAATTTTATATCCATTCTGAATATCTCATGACAGATGCGCATTCTTTCTGATCAAAATCAATCTAGTTTTTCATCCAACTCCTTAATATTATCAGAAAATTAGTGAGCTAACTCTCAAATTACATAGTAATTTTCTAGCTTGTAATACAAATATCTTATCCTATTCTGGTGGGTTTTTCCAAGAACAAGACATTTTTACCTCATGACGTGCTTGGATACCTCTGAAACAGAACCTTTGAAATTGAACAATGGACTTGTTCCATTTTGTCACCTTGGGAAGTGATCTCCTGTTGTCCCTTCGAGGACATTCCATAAAATTGGGTGATCTTCCATTATATTGAAGATCACTGTTAAGTACAACCAAATATACTGAACTAGAAATATATCTGCCTCGGCCTTTTACACCAGATCCGCCTCTGCCTTTTACTGCATATATTTGTCTCGACTTTCATGATAGCTGCTGTATCAAGAATCTTTATTGTTCTGATTGTCTTACCTAGATGTTTTATATTGCATTGGTTTACTACATGATATAGTTGTACTAAGCGATCACTAATCCATTTCATTATGTGAGATTACATGTATTTTATTTTACTTGTCTAAAGCAAGTATAGGCTGTATTCACATTTTAGGAACTGGTTATTTTATTTTCAGGGAAGTTTGAGTGCAATTCATTGACTTTTTGGCTTGGTTTCATTCATTTTCTCACCATATCTTTTCCTGTTTGATTTCTTGTGAATTCTCCAAATCTATGGCACTCTGTTACATTTGATTAGTTATATTCATTTTCTTTATGTTTGTGTCTGCATCTTTTAGGTATCTAGATCAATTGGAGATGCATATCTGAAGAAGCCAGAGTTTGCTGTTGGTCCAGCTCACCCACGATTCCATCTTAAAGAACCACTTATTCGGCCAGTGCTAAGAGCTGATCCATCTGTATGTTCAAGAAACTTACAACCCGGTGATAGATTTCTTATATTTGCTTCTGACGGGCTGTGGGAACTCATAAGTAATCAAAAGGCTGTCGAGATTGTGCATAATAACCCTAGAGAGGTAGGTATCTCCTTTATTTTTTATTGTTTAATAATTTTCCCTTGTTCTGCCATAGATGTATTGTTATGTTTGTTTGGTCAAACTTATATGTATTTCATCCAATATATTAGGGCATCGCAAGAAGACTTATTATATCAGCCCTGGATGAGGCCGCAAGGAGAAGGAAGTTGAAGTACGATGACCTTAAGAAGTATGACAAGGGTGCGAGGAGGGCCTTTCATGATGATATAACAGTTGTTGTCATCTTTATAGATCATGAGATGTTGGAAGGAAAACAATCTGTGCCTGAACTGTCAGTTCGAGGATTTATAGATACTCATGGACCATCAGATTTCAATATCCTCCAAGAGGTTGCTATGAAGACAAATTCTCTCAAGTGAAACATACCAAACAAGTTGTTGGCTCTTCTTCTTTTCTAAGGAAGCCCGGGTGCAGGAAGTTTCTGACGCCCCCCTTTTCGCTTTGTTTTCCAATTTACAGTTGACATACAGTCCAGATGAACGGCAAGACTATCAAGTTACCTGCTTTACACATGCCCCCACCCCTAGGTCATTGGCGACCTACTTGCTCTAAAGTTTTGATGTACACAAATTTTCTGTACAAGACACGCTGAGAAAACTGCCTTCTGTTGTTTGTGTACCGCATATCTGTCAAAGTAAGGCCATAAAAGTAGGCATTGTGATTGAAAATCAGGTAGTTTCAATGCTCAAAATGTAAACAAGTCGAAGCTCTAAGCTCAACTATGTTTGACCTTTGTTTACAAGTGCTGATTCATTTTTGTTTCTTACTGTGGAAGGGGTGCTTAACTGTCTTGCATGTAATCTTGACTTGCTGCACAGCATAAGCTTGTCGCCGCGGAAGGGGTATTTGACACTTTGGCGTGCATTTTGCTTGCCGGATTCGCGTTGTGATCGAAAAAGCAACGTATGCTGTTTCAGATTCGTGCACATGAAACACCACATTTTTGTCATTAAACAATGGAGTATCTTGTAAGGATTTCCAACTTGTTATAAAAGCAGCTAGGCAGAAACTCAAGCTGCTGCTGCATTCCTCTCTGTGCACATGCACATGCACATGCACATACACACCCCAGGAGGCTTTATCAATCTTCTCCCTCTTTCTGATAATACCCATGAACATGTTTGTCTGGATTTGTAATAAGCTATAGCAATTCAGTTGCATACTCTTCTATCTTTATGAAAATTTTGAGTTCTTTCTTCCACAACCAAAATAACTGCATATGCATAAATTTTAGGCGCCACCACTTGGCTAAAGATTGAGCCCAACTACTAGCAGGAGTTTCAACTGCAATTTGTTAAGCAAGAGAGTTAATTTATGGCTCTTCTGCCCTTGTCTGTAAGCTTGGAATGAGATGCTGTGGTGAGATTTGTGTGGCCATCAGGAAAAAGGGGTCCCCTGTGGGTGGGAGGCTCGCATCGCAAATTTAAGTGCTAATGTCGGCCGTTGAGCCTATGGCCTAGTGCTACCTCCGGTTCACTTTAAATATTAGTTGGTTTTCCCTACTCGCATTGAGACACGATTAAATTTGGATTTGTTTTGGGAAATCCCAATTAAGGTAAAGCGCTTCTTCAATACGGAACTTTCTGAATTCGAATTTAGCCGGGTTGAGTGAAAGTAATAAATGGAAAATAAAAAAAATAAAGTAAAATAAGTGACAAGATTTTGCACAAATATAGCACTAGAAAGAAGCTGAAAGTACAACACAAGCGGAAGATGTAGTCAAGCACGCCAACGTAAGAGGACACCAGCGATTAATTAATTCATGAGTATGGTGTCTTTTGCTGTGGACTGTAGTGCCAAACTAAAGAGGAATTAAACTATGAAAGGAATGAACGAGAAACATCCGATTATCAGAAGATGGATAATACTGCTTTTACATATCGTCGGGGTTCATTTCATTTTTTAATGGCACATTTGGTGTTCGGTATCTATATTGGGATCCGACTAAATTCAGAGTTGCGAATTTAAATTCAGCTCGATTAGGAATACTAATACTCGGGGAAAACCAAAAAAGTAAAAATAAAGTTAAGTTAGTAACAAGATTTTGCACATCTAAGTAGACTATGAAAGGATTGAAAGAGAAACATCACTACCAGAAGATTGATAATATTGCCTCAACTTTTATATTGACGGGGTTCACATATTATTTTCTTGGATTTTTCATCTCGTGTTCGGTACTAGCATGGGGCTCGGTTAAATCATAAGACCTAAATTCATATTTAATCGAGTCCAAATACGAATATCGGATGAAGAACCAAAAAAAATAAAATAACATAAGTAACGCATTAGAAAGAAGCAGGAAGTACAACAAAAGTTGAAAATGTAATCAAGCACGCCAAGATAAGAGTACACCAACCACTTAATTAAGTGATGAAGTCTAGAACTAAAGTAAAGCAAAATGTAACTTAAAAAACCAAAGTAATGTAGAAAAAAAAAACTGAACACAACTACAAATAATGCAGGTCAAATGCATACGCAGGCACCTAAACTTGTCCAAATTTTTCATTTAGACACTTAACTCGCGCTAGTTCCTATTGAACACCTAAAGTCCTCCAAAAGTGTATTAATTAGACACATTTTGTTGAGATAGCCAAAAATAAAGTGCGTGCATTTCAAATGCAGTTGACTTGGCAAAACAAACCAATGAGACAGAGAAACTTGGAATTTGATCCCAAATAATTAGGAAAAAAGAGTTTTGAGGAAAAAATAAATAAAAATTCTCTCCCGATATTTCCTTTCAAATTTAATAGTAACTTTTTCTTAAATTTGCATGAGCTTTTTGCAGCTTAAAACATGAAGAATTAGTTGTTGTAGTGTTAAAACGGGGTTCTTAGCGGAAATTGGGAACTAGAATTGATATAGAGGAGATCTTGATACAACCACCACTGACCCAAGTGGAAACTCCATTAACAGAGAAAAAACAATGCTTATAAAATCCGTAAAGAAGATAGACAAATAAGGAAAATGTCTCTACTTAGCTGTCCTGAATTTGAAATAAGTTTCTGCTTGACAACTTCAAATCTTTACGTTTCTGTTACCTTAATCGTCTTATCAACTCCCATAACAAATGTAAATTTCTGATTTCAGTACGCATATCCGGCAACTGATTTTGACTCTGATTTTCTATTATCAAATTTACAAGGAAAACTGTAGCTGATGGTGGTGTTAGAATTGGGTGGGATTGAAAAAGCTAGATCTAATATTTTTTCGGAGTGTTCTTGGCGGAGAAGTGAGAAGCGGGCTTGCTGCTGGCCATGGAAATTTCTGACAAGGTAGGCCGACCTTCAGGCAAAACCAGAGTAAAAGAAAAAATATGAAAAAAGAGAAAGAGAAAGAAAAAAGAAAAAATGAATTTACTGCTTTTTGAGATACTAAACGCGCTTTAAGAGAGTGGGAAATACACACTTTGCCGCAAAATGTGTCTAATTGGAAGAAGAGTTTTGGTGTTCAACAGGTTCTAATTGAAGTTCAAGTGTCTAAACGAACAAGTTAAAGTGCCTGCGTAAACGGTCCTCCCTTCCTTTTAAATTATGCCATTAACGGCAAGTCGAGGTCTCACCACGTGGTTTTGTTCAGTTTTTTTTACAGAAAAAGAATATAAATTCAAGGTATATTCGAGGCATAGAAGAAGATTGTTACTCAAATTTCAGAAAAAGCTTCCATTTTAGGTATTTAACCTTTTTTTTTTTGCTTATAATAACTAGAGATTTTGTGGATAATATTAATATTAACCATATATTCTTGTAGTTTTCCATTTTATTATTTTTTAGTAATTTTTGAACATTACGATTTTCTGAAAATTATGAAATTCTGGAATTTTGTTTTTTTTTTCCTATCAATTATGCTTTTTCACTTTCTGCTGTCACGACTCAAATCCCAATATGAGTCGTGATGGCGCCTAACGGCGCCGCTAGGCAAGCAACAACTAAACAACGCAACGAATAGTCCACAACTCGTCTTAAAACAGTTTGAGAATTAAAATAATCGAAAAATATTCTCAACCATACTTGAGATATCAAGTATTATTGAAAGAAGTTCGTACAGTGACCCAAATACAAGCCAAAATGCTAAATTAACCAATGCAAAACACGATCAAATAGTCCTCAATCCCAAAATTCGGTGACTCAAGTGCAGGAACACCTACTGGAATATGCAATACTACAACAACAACTATCTAGAATAAAAATTAGACATAATACAATAAATAAGTAGGAAGGAGAATGTGTGTGCTGCTGATTGTAACATAGAAAACAGCTCACCACAAAGTCTCCTCATGTTATGTCGAGGAAACCCTCATTAATATATGTGAGCAAAAGTGAGCAAGTAATATATGTGAAAATATTGCATGTATTAATCTTGGCATATCTTTTATTGCCTCACTACTTATGTTGCTGTCTTTATTTTTTATTTTTTCGATTTCGCCTCAGGTTTCTTGGTTACTAGTCCTATGTTTGACGTAGATATGCCACTATTTGACGTTGCAATCTCCGTATTTACACAAGCTACGCTTGGTTTGGAGATGATATACTTTGAATGGATATATAATGGACTTTATGCTACTCAAAGTGTACTCATGTCAAGGCTTGGATGATACATTGGGATATACTCAAACTGTCTGAAGCTATTTAATTAGCTAAAGCACTATTTTGTTGATTGTTTGTTATCATCAAAGCATAAAACTTAGTGACACTCGAGCCAACTCGTCTATATTTTATCTTTTCCATTTTTTTCCGGATCAAGATTCAAGGCATTTGTTGCTAGAAAATCACGTCTAATAACATTGTCTAATGAATTTGTAGTAAAATTTTGAAGTCTTTTTAAGACAAATAGGTGGTTATAACTTGCTGCCTTGTATTGCATCAGTATGTTTGTAGAATGTGCAGATCACTGTATGTGCAGACTTATAATTGTATCAGTATGTTTCCAAAATAGGCCTCTGTAATACAGATTCAAATAGGCCGATAAATCGCCCGATAATAACTAAACCGATACCAATCCACGGATCAATACATTTACAAGTCGATAATCGATAAGCCGAGCCGTTAAGCATAAATAAACGCCCAATTCGTTCGATAAACAGCCCTAGTAGCTCAGCATTCCAAGCGCGAAAAGTTACCCCTATTTTGTGGTCCAGGGAGTTATTGGCTAATGACCTACAAATGCGTGAAGCAACATTACATTGCGCTCTTCATGCTCTTTTAGCCATATCTCTAGCTTGAGTAAACCATAAATATCAAGGATCCTTTTGCTGCAGCTTCTATTGCATTTAATTGACTGCCTTATGTCAGGCAAGTGTCAACCATGTTAAAGTTGTCTGGTCCTATAGGAATGAAAGAATAAAACATGCATGCGAAGTTAAAGACTTTATCCATCGGTAGAGAAAACTAATTTGTGTTCAAGGGAGGAAAACTGTTACATTTTGCGTTTTTATACGTTAAAGTTTTATCGTAAGTTAACCGACGTAGGTTCGGAAATGAGATTATTTTTTAGGTTATAGGCATTTATGCTATTTATAACTGGCGATAAGTAAGTGCCGTGAAGGTTAAAGGGTAAACGAATAAAAGAAAATGAGTTTCGTTGAAGGTTGTCAATTTGGAATATAATACGATCCAAGCCATAATACCCGATATTTATGGACTAGTGTCATACAAAGTACCACATGACCACGATAGTAGGGTACATAAAGTGTATTAAAAGTGAGTAGTATTTTAAGTAATTTGAGATAATTCTTAATTATGTGGGTAATTGGTTAATTATTGAATAATGAGATATTACCTAATTAATTAAGGAATTGTTGGATAAGATTAACCCCCCCCCCCCAAACAACGTGGCAGCACCCCCATCCCTATCTCAATACTAAGCAAGCCCACAATCTTAATAAATCACTACATCTATAAAATTTGAAAACAAAATAATTAAATTCAGCGGAAAAAATCTCACAAATACAAATATAATACCTCCAAAACCCGGTGTCACGGAGTAAATGAGCATCTAATATGAATACAATGTCTGATTGATAAAAACAAAACCATTCTCTGAAAGTATAGAACAGTACAATAACTGAAGGAAAAAAGAGACAAGGTCAGCGGACGCCAGGCAACTACCTTGATAGTCTCCAACTGGTATCATACTGAGGTCTAACAGCCGCCGTGTCCGGAATAGGGCTGTATTTTGTCCCGGGCCCGGGCCTTAGTGGGCCTAACGGGCCGGGCCTCGCGGTNCAGGTACAGTCTAGTATAAATAATGGTGTAAAAATATAGGCATGCTTTCAAGTTCAATAGTAAAACTCATTACAAGTGAAATAGATCAATACTGCAAGATACGAGGAATATGATATCTCAGTAGAAAGACCTCATGTAAATACTGATTACAAATTATTCGGTCACTCGGTACAGTTTATGGCCAATCCAACCCAAGGGTATTCCATCCCGTATATAAATACACATCGACTGATAATCAGTCACTCAGTACCGTATAAGGCCAATCCAGCCCTGGGGTAATTTATCCCTAAATATAAATAATACGGACAAGATCCATGTCCAGGTAAATTCATTACAATATAAATAAGTAAGGCAAATCCATGCCTTGGGAAATCCATCCCGAATATGTATAATCATCTACGCTCACTAAGGGTGTGTACAGACTCCGGAGGGGCTCTTTCAGCCCAAGCGTGATATAAAGTCTTTATGGCCTACTGCAGGCGAGTAGTCTCGATCCGTATAATAATAAAGCCTATAAGCCCTGCTGCAGGCGGGCAGCCCCAATCCATAAAATAGTAAAGCCAATAAGGCCTGGTGCAGGCGGGCAGCCCCGATCCAGAACAATAATAATGTATAAAGCCATTCTGGCCTGCTGCAGGCGGGCAGCCCCGATCCATTTAATAATAACATATATAAAGCCAATATGGCTTGCTGCGGCGTGCAACTCGATCCCATAAATATCCTCACAATGGACGTATATGACTGACTGTGAAATGTACATTTTTAAAACAATTAATTCAACAGCAATACTACCTCATGGGTCCCAAAATATCGGCACGTAGCCTAAACATGATTTTTAATAAGAGCCTCATCTCAATTTCTCTAACACGTAGGGAAATGTTTAGATAATAACATGATTCTTTAAATTTTCAACTCCACAGAATTTATTCAAATCACAATTTCAATGGTGCACGTCCACACGCCCGTCAACTATCGTGTGCGTCACTTACAAACAATTTATATAACACCAATTCGGGGATTCATACCCTCAGAATCAAGTTTAGAAGTGTTACTTACCTCAATCCGAGTAAAGCTCTACTCCAAAATGCCTTTGCCTCTCAAATCGGTCTCTATATGTCCTGAATTTAATCACAAGCAGTACAATACAATTAATATAGGCTAAAGGAATTAATTCCACAAGAAAATATGAAGTTATAGCCAAAAATCCGAAATCGGCTAAAAACACCTGACCTTCGGGCCCACATCTCGAAATCCAACAAAAGTCACAAAACTCGAAAGCACATTCACTCACGAGTCTAACTATACCAAATTTACTAAAATCTGATAACAAAATCCCATTCAAAACCTCAAAATTCTAGCCCAAGAACTCTTCTTCATTTTTCCCAAATTTCCATCTCAAAACACTAATTAAATGCTGAAAACATTGATATATTCGTGTATATTGACCAAATGTGAGTTAGAATCACTTACCCCGATATTTTCCCATGAAAATCTCTCAAAAATCACTTCTCCCCAAGCTTCAAATTGTCAAAAATAAAAAAATGGGACAAAACCCCCGTTTTGTAACTTAAAATTTCTGCCGAGGCCTGGCCTCGATTTTCATGACCTCGATTTTCTCGCCTCAATTTTCATGACCTCGATTTTTCCAGCATCAGAAATTTTCAGCAGCTATTTAAGTCCAATGTTATATCCATTAACCATCTGAAACTCACCTGAAACCTCCCGGACACAAACCATATATGAATTTCAATAATAAAATACGCTACGGACCTGATCGCTCACTCAAAACACTGAAAGGAGGTCATCTTGAACCGATATTGACTATGGTCAAACTCCCAAATTTCTTAACTTTACTAGTCTCTCAACCAATGATCCAAAATAAAATACACCCAAGCCCCTCGGGACCCGTCAAATCATACCAACAAGTCCTAAAATATCATACAAACTTAGTCGAAACTTCAAATCACGCCAAACAATGCTAGAACCACAAATCATACATCAATTCAAGTCTAATGAACTTTGAAATTTCAAGTTTCCACAAACGACGCCTGAACCTATCAAATCAAGTCCGATTGACCTCAAATTTTGCACACAAGTCATAAATGACATAACGGACCTATAAAAAATTTCAGAATCAGATTTCAACCCCGATATCAAAAAGTCAACTCCCGGTCAAACTTCCAAAAAAATTCAACTTTCGCCATTTCAAGCCAAATTCTACTACGGACTTCCAAAAACTTTTTCATACACGCTCCTAAGTCCAAAATCATCATACGGAGCTATTAGAATCATCAGAATTTGAATCCGAGGTCGTTTACGCATAAGTCAATATCTAGTCAACTTTTCCAACTTATGTTTTCATTTATGAGACTAAGTGTCTCATTTCACTCCGAAATCCTTACGGACCCGAACCAACTAACCCAGTAAGTTATAAAACAACTGTAAAGAATAACTTGAGAAGTAAATGAGGGAACGTCGTTATAATACTCAACACGACCGGCCAGGTCTTTACATTCTCCCCCACTTAAATATACATTCGTCCTCGAACGTGCCAAGAGTTGTTTCCAAGCCATCACATTACTATTCTATCTACCACTCACATACCCGGGGGTGATCCCATGCCACCTTATGCTGTGTAAATTGTATAGGACTAACAACACAACATAATTAAAAATCATAACTTCAACCTTAGCCCATAAACCTTGGAATTCAATTTCCAACATTCGGAATTTCTTTTCAAGACCTGAATCTCACATCAAGATGTTGTATGAGTCTGAACAAGCTGTATCAAGCCATAATCATAGCCCCAGATATAATAACTTAACATACTACACAACTCGCATGCTTGAAACACCATTTTCGATCACAGTAACTACTCCAAACTAACCCAGTAATAGTATTAACTTTATATCAAGCCAAACCTCATTCCAAAACCTTCGTACATTGCTGATAATGAAAGAAACACGTGGAATCTCATTACCCCTTATTAAATCAATAAGTCATGGAGCTTACTTGCCCAAACTAGAATCATAATATCCTTCTATGATGACTTTCAATATTATCCTTCCAATATACCGTACAGTACAAAAAAACTCGATTTAGCGACGAAATTTTGCGACAAATATGTTCCCCTCGCTACTTAGCGACGAATTAATTACGGAAATAGAGCTTTATCGCAAAAAGGTAAACCAAATAATTAGTATCTAATATAGCGACAAATTAGCGACAAACTGAAAACTCCGTCGCTAAAAATTGGCGCCCTCATTTTAACAACAAAATAAGTGAGGAAAATTTGGTGAAAATATTTATTGCATATTAGTGACGGATGTAGTGACGAAGTGTGTATGTTGCTAATATTTTTAATTAATGAGAGTATCTTTACCCTTGTTGCTACAGAAAGTTTTTGTCGCTTGGTATTTAGGGAAAAAAGGTTACGACAAAATAAGTGTTCTGCTTTAGCGAAAAACCAGCCCCTTTCTAAAAAATAAGGTCTTTCTTTCTCACAGAAGAATACACTAAGAAACCAGCCCCTTTGCTTCTTCTTATTCTTCTCCTCTAATCTTTCATTAATTTTCCCAGATGCGTTACTACATCAACTCTTTTCTAAAATAATGGTATGTCTCTGCTTCTTTCTCTGTTTATTAGCAATTTTTCTACATTAAAATTTTTAGGGCTTTGGTAGATGTAAAATAAATCAAGCTTTCGTCTCTTCCCCCTTTTTCTTTGTAGTATGTGAAGTTAAATATGAAGTAGAGGTTGACATATTTTGGGTATATCTCATTTGTGCATAAATGTATATTTTTATTACTATTTATTGTTGGCAAAATATGATTTGAGGATTTCTTTTGTGTTGAACTCTTGATTAATACTAATTTTGGTGATATTTGGTTATTAAAATCGAATTTAGGTGTTTTGAGATGTGCGTGGTTTCCAATTTCTTCAAGGTGAAGTGCTGCAAAACTCTACATTGTTGCTGAACTTTCACACTGTTTTGTCCTTCTTTTGAGATTGCTTTGACATCAACCAGTTCTAGCATCTACCCAGTAACCAGTTCTTCACTCGAGCACTAGAAGTCTTAGAGTTTTGCTACTCTTTTATACCTCCTGTATATCATGTAAGGAGTTTCTTATCCTTTTCTTAACGTAGGATTGATAACACCCAGTAGTCACAGATAATTTCTTTCTTATGTTTTATTCCTAGTTTTGTTACTAAGAATTGCATTTACTTGAAAACAATAAAAAAATCATATGAGAACAACATAGAACAAAATCTTTTCTTAACGTAGGATTGATAACACCTTATTTAGACCAATTGTTTTTTTACTTGCAGTAGTCTTTTTGCAAGCTACTCGAGTCCATCCTTCCTCCATATTTTTCTCCTTATTGTTGCTTAATTTATAGGCATTCAAGCTAGTTGTAGATGTACCAATCTTCCTGTAACGACCCGACTTGTCGTTTTAAGAATTAATGCCCCGCTCAGTGACTTAAGGTCTCGAGAATCCTCGCAATATGTATTATGACCCGCGTGTGTGGTCGAGTTTGATTTACGGATAATTCAGAGAGATTTGGGATACTTAGTCCCTAAGACGGAAGCTTATGTCTTAGGATTTTGACCGTATTTGGAACTGTGTGAAGACGACTCCGGAATAGAGTTTCGTTAGCTCCGTTGAGTGATTTTGGACTTAGGAGCGTGTCCGGACTGTGAATCTGAGGTCTGTATCCAATTTAGGCTTGAAATGGCGAAAGTCGAATTTTTGGAGAATTGGACCGGAAGTGGACTTTTGATATCGGGGTCGGAATCTAATTCCAGAAGTTGGAGTAGGTCCATAATGTCAATTATGACTTGTGTGAAACATTTGAAGTCATTCCGGATTGATTTGATGTGTTTCGGCACAAGTTATAGAAATTGAAAGTTCAAAGTTCATAAATTTTGATTTGGGATGCGATTCATCGTTTTGATATTGTTTGAGATGATTTGAGAATTCAACTAACTTCGTATGATGTTTTGGGACTTGATGGTATGTTTGGTTGAGGTCCCAAGAGGCTCGGGTGTGTTTCAGGGTGGTTTAGGACCAAATTGGAGTTGTTTGGACTGTTGTTACTGAAGTCTGGTTTCCTTCTTCGCGAACGCGAAGGGAGTCCCGCGTTTCCTAATAGGTATTTGAGGGACTGATGGTTTGGCCTTCGCAAATGCGAAGCTGTGGACGCGAACGCGAAGAAGGAGCAGGGCAAGCCATCGTGAACATTGCCCACGCAACGCGAACGCAAAGAAGAAAGGAGCGATAAGTGTGGCAATATGAGCGAAAAGGGTGGCTATTGGTATTTTCTGGGCGGAGCGATAAGGGTGGCTATTGTCAGGGATGATATGTGATGATGTGGGGTTGTGGTGTTGACAATTTTCATGTGATGTTGTGATTTTCTTGTGTTATTTCTATACCTTGTGCAACTTGTCATGTTGTTAGTAAATTGATAATAATTTTATTTATGTTGAAATTGGGAGCCTGTGGCTATTGCCAGGCGGTTTATAAAATGAAATGTGGGTACGAGGTGCCGTGAATTATGATATGAAATGGGGATATTGGCACGTGAATTGTCCGTGCAGTTGTGATATAAAATGTGGGCACGAGGTGCTGTGATGAAATGATAATGATATTTGGCACATGAATTGTCCGTGCAGTTGTGATATGAAATGAGGGCACGTGGTGCCGGGAAAATATGATGATTTAATTATAGGCATGAGGTGCCGTGGAAATATGAAAATGGGATGAGACCCATGTTTACGAAAAATAAAAAATGGGCTGAGACTCGTATTTTGATGATTATGAAATGAGGTGTCACATGGTGACCTTTTAATTGAAAGAATTCTATTAAAGATATTTATTTGAAGAAATTGTATTTGAAAAGATTTATTGAAAGAATTATGTTTGAAAAATAATTATTTGAGAAAATTATATTTGAAAGAGAGTTACTTGGAAGAACTATGTGAAAGACATTTATTTGAAGGGCTTGATTTAATTGGGTGTAATTGTGTTTATTAATTGTTGAGTGATATTAATGGTATTCTTGTTGTCTGTTGTGCATATCGCTGGTTGTTTTATCCTGCCTTTATTATTATTATTATTATTATTATTATTATTATTATTATTTTTATTATTATTATTATTATTATTTGTTTCCTATTATTTTGTATATCATATTGCACAGGTTATTAGACTAGTGACTGTCTTGACTATACCTCGTCTCTACTCCATTGAGGTTAGTCTTGATACTTACTGGGCACCGCTGTGGTGTGCTCACTGTATACTTCTGCACATTTTTGTGCAGAGCCAGGTATTGAAGATAACATACTTGAGCAGAGTTAAAGCGGGATCGTAAGGATTCAAGGTAGAGCTGCTTGGTCGTCGCATTCCCTTGTGAGTCTTTTCATTTCATTGTACTGTTAACTTGTAATCAAACAATATTGTATATTCGGTCCTCGTGATCATATGTATTCAGTTAGAGTTTATGACTCAGTACTACCAGTCTTGGGAGCTTGTATATTCATATTTGTTCCGTTGTCAGTTTTGATTATTTATTTAATTAAAAAAAATGGTTTCAAAAGGTAGTTGAAATAGGCTTACCTAGTCTTAGAGACTAGGTGCCATCACAACGCCTGTGGTGGGATTTTGGGTCGTGACAAGTTGGTATCAGAGCTCTAGGTTCATAGGTTCTACGAGTCACGAACGAGTCTAGTAGAGTCTTGCGGATCGGTACGAAGACGTCTGTACTTATCTTCGAGAGGCTACATAACTGTTAGGAAATTTCCATTTCTTTCATTCCTGTCGTGCAGAATTTGTTGAATTTGAACCTTTGTATCTTCATTATCTCACAGATGGTGAGGACACGTGCTACTAGGTTAGCTAAGCAGGCATCTGCATATACTGCTAGGGCTGCAAGAGGCCGGGGCTGAGGTAGAGGCCGAGGTAGAGATCGAGGAAGGGCACGTGCTACGACTAGAGCACATGTCAGAACAACAGTTGAGGAGTCACTAGTAGCTCTAGTTGGGGGATAGGTACCAGAAGCACCTGTTGTTATCCCCGGACTTCAGGAGACTTTAGTACAGTTCCTGAGTATGTTTGGTACATTAACTCAGGCGGGTTTGATCTCTATTGCACCAAACATTCCGCAGATTGGGGGAGTAGCTCAGACTCCTACCACAACTCCATAGCAACAGTTTCCCGTTGGTCAGGTTCCGGGTGTAGTACCGGTACAACTTGTTATTCCGGTTCGACCTGAGGTCAAGTCCGAGGCATCAGAAGAAGAACAAAAGAGACTTGAAAGGTTTAAGAGGTATAGTCCACCTACTTTCAATGGCACAGCTACAGAGGATGCTTAAGAATTTCTAGTAAATTTTCACTGTATTTCTCCGTACCATGGGTATTGTGGAGGTGAGAAGAGTCGTCTTAACTACATTTCAACTGTCAGGCGCGGCGTATCGGTGGTGGCAAATATGTGAAGAAGGTAGACCAGCCGATGCCACACCACCAACTTGGGCTCAATTTTCGGAAATGTTCTTGTAAGAGTTTGTTCCCAGACTCTCAGAGATGCGTGGCGCACAAAGTTTGAACGGTTGCGTCATGGTACTATGACAATATTAGAATATGCTATCAGGTTCAGTGAGTTAGCCCGTCATGCACTTATCTTAGTTCCGACAATCAGAGAACGGGTCCGCAGATTTAATGAGGGGCTCGATTATGATATTAAAATATGTATGGCTCGAGAGTTGCAAACTGATGCTCCATTTCAACAAGTAGTGGAAATTGCAAGGAAGATTGAGGGTGTTTTAGGCGAGGAAAGGGAGTCTAAGGAGGCCAAAAGGTCTCGAAGATCTATAAGGTTCAGTGGATTTTACTCTTCAGCTAGAACCCATTATAGCGGAGAGTCGAGCAGCCGGTCAGCTCAGTCCGCACATCAGATTACTCGGGGTGCTCCAGTTTATAATGCACCACCGACACGAGATTCTTACAGTGGTTATTCCAGTTATTTGGCACAGACTCAATACGAGCAGTCGCGACCTCAGAGGGATTGTTATGAGTGTGGTGATACTAGGCATATCATGAGAGATTGTCCCAGACTTGGGAGGGGTGGATTTCATCAGAACACTCTAGCTACAAGCTTTATTCCAGTTGATACTCCACGTTTACGGTCAGCTATAGTTGGAGGACAGGCGGGTAGTGGGTGCCTAAGAGGTGGAGGCCCGACCCGTTGATATAATCGCTATGTTTTGGCTGAGGCCAATACACGAGATGATGTTGTTACAGGTACGATCCTGGTTTTATTATAAAAGGTTATTTTCCTTAATTTGATTCGGTTCTGAATATTGAGGTGAGTCCTCCTATTATGCTCCACTTATGGGTGAGCTTCGTAAATTTGTGACCCATTTATATGTTTATCCCTTTGGGGAGATTTAAATATGTGATCCCGTATTTGTCATTTTATTTTTGGTACACCATTGAGGGCTATAAGCCTAAAAGTAATTTTTATTATTCACTACAGTGGGTTTAATGTGTTTCGAAATAATTGATTCCAATTTTTTTTTTATGAATTATATGCCCTACCGGTAGGAGGGTTCATTATATGTTGTGAAAATTGTTTATGAAATATATTGAAAAGAAGAAAGAAAGGAAATTGAAAATTATAGTTGGCACAATGTGCAAAATACTTGTGATTCGGAGTTTAGGACGAGATCCTCGAATTTTATATATGATGTGAAATATTTAAACTGGGCTGCAAGCCGCGATGGAAGTTATATAAGGACGAGGTCCTTGTGGTAAAATATTTATGTGTTTAAAATTTTACCTTGTGAAATTTAATTTGTGCAATAATATTAATAGAGAGTCATGCTGTTAGGATTATTTGATAATGCTTGTATATTTTCTGTTTATATTCATCCATTTTTGTGCTGTAAATATTGAGTTTTAGCCTATGAGGTGAGTGCCCAAGTGGCGTTAAATGTGACTCATTAATCCGAGTAAGTAATCATGAGGTCTTCATGCCTCACGTTCTGTTGTCAGTGTTGTGAAAATTCGAAACGAGGTAATAGTTAATATGAGATTAATGTTATTGATATATACCC